GAAATTCAATGCGGTCGAGGGATTATAGCGAAACTAGTACACTACGTTGGTCATTATCCATTTCATGAGCACCCCTGTCGTTGTTCTTGTTGTTAGTTTTGTCATTGTCCCGAGGCCCCTCCTATCACGAAAAAGGAAGGAACCCTGAACCGAGCCACGACCTCCGTCGCGTTTCAGCCAGGTCCTGACGCGTGGAACTGGGATCCTGTGCCAAGTTTCATTTTTGAACTCGTGCACGTTATACCGTGAATAGACCAGCACACTTGCCTAAGCTGTTCTGGTGTCTTTGAATCGCGTGCACTGCGGAGGCGAATTCCCACCACTGAGACAGCATTCTGGGCAACTGGGGAGCGACCATAGTCATAAGTTTCATTAAAGAGGAGGTAGGCGGTGGTGGAGGTAACTGTCGACTTTGCTCCGGGCTCCCGACACTTTGGACCTAATTGCAGCAACATTGCCCAGTGTATGTTGTAAATATCTAGGCTCTGGGGGTTCATGTTCCTGCGCCCTCCCCCCCCCCTCGCTACATCCCTGCTACACATCAAATGTACGAGAGCTTGCTCCCCCCCCAGAAATCCCGCTAAAATTTGGTTTGGTTGCCAGGCATCATCCCATTGCGTGGCCTTTGAAATTTAAGATTCTCTATCTGGATATTGTTCTGAATCCACCCCCAGCTTTGATTGCTTGAGTGTTTTTTTTTTTACTTCACCGTCGCAGTAAAAAGTTGCGATCGTTCAGAGCTTCCAGTGTGGCAATCAGAGTACTTCTGAGATGTATATCAGCAATCGGCGCAGTCATTTAACCACAACAACGGCATATCAGTGAGTACGTGCAGGACGATCGAGATTCGGATTGGGCACCTTAGCCCTCGATATTGGAGAGCGTTTAAAGTAAATCAGGCCATGGACACAGTACGTCCAGTGTATTTCATACATTGTTGCATTTTAGGTTTTATCACAAAGTCACTGTGACCTATCGGGATTATCACCTTGAATTAAGCCGGGGGGGGGCAGCAAGAGTCAGTTGGTGCGCTTTTGCAGATGATGCGTGACGACCGATGTCTGTGACTTTACTTGACGGCTTGCAGTAGCAGCTGAGCATTCCTCATTGCACCCAAGACTTCAGAGCAATGTCGGTAATGTGGATGGCTCCCTCACTGTCTCTGCCTGGAGGCAGCACTGGTGGGGCGCGCCATTGCTGCTCATTGGAATAGGTTAATATGCATGAGTCTTAACGTCAGTTTCTCGTGGGCAGAACCATGCATTTAACCCATAAACAAGTCAATAAATATTCTACATTTGTGCTCCCGATCATCAGTTTTGGGAACTGCAATCATGAAGGTTGAATGCCAATAATGGCCTCAGTCTTGGCTCATATGCAGGTGTCTATTACATCAGTTGGGCGTTTGTCTCGTAGATACCTTGCCAGTTACATGTTCAAACAGGGATGCAAAACTCTTCGACTGTGGTCCGCACGTTGTCCATTTTGTCAGCGGTATGTTGTGAAAACAGTTGTGTCCCATTTTGTTACGTCAAAAAGTGTCATTTTGTTGCCATTGTAATTTATGTATTGCAATAATCTCACTATGAAGCAACTTTTCGTTGGCTTGTTGAATTACCCCCATGGGTCTCGTAGAAAATTTTCATAGTCTTGATTTAGTTAATTTGTAGAATTATGCCTTCTTGAAACTGACTTTAACGAATCTATTCCAAATTTGGCCTAATTTCGTTGCTTCGCTTTTCATGAAGCTTCTTGAAACTAAGTCATTACTTTGCACGAGGCGCGGATACTGCGCGGACATGTGAGAAAACCGCTGCAATTTGTGTTGTAAAATTGTAGGTGTCACGAAGATATGGCAACCCATGCGATGCCTAAAGTTGACAAAACGATTGAAGCGTACCTCTCCCACATGCTGCGGATTTTACGAGATTATTTTTTCTCGCTCACACCCAAAGTTGTTAAACGTTGGAAAACATGTTCCCATTGCAAAGCAAGCATCGCGAGCGTTACAGGTACATAACTTCACACTGGTCGTTTTCATGGTGATTAATACACTGAAATATCTTAAATACCTTTTTTAAATGACTCTTAGAAGCCTTAGCACATGCTAAACATTGCAGCAAGGAAACTATTGCTTCCATGCAATGTCATTAGCACATCGTAGGCAAGCTACGTGCATCCCACTGAGAATAGGTTTTTTGCTATATTAAACGAGATCCGTTGTAGACATTTCTTCAGTCCATGCCTTTAGTTCACCCAAATTCTAGGACAATACTAAGCCTGGCAACCAACGATGTGAATCGGACGAGGGCGTTGGATGTTGGCTGCATCAATATTGTCTGCATTGGTGTTGTACGGAGCAAGTCGGGTTTGGCGGATCATTTTATTCAAGGATGATTCATTTTGGATAATGTCAAGGCGCGCAAGCCTTGTAAGCTCTGTAAACGCCGAAAGTAGGCTCTGTGAGTGCTGCATACCTGTGAACAAGAAAACTACAAAGACATAGAAGTTTATTATGTGGCGTCTGCCCCAGAGACGCCACGGAATGTTTTCAAAAAGTGTTGAAATTTTTCAGTATGAAGAGATCTGGCACAGGAAATAAACACACACACAAGGATGCCTATTACACTTGTCCATAAAAGCATTATCATACTTATAAGCCAAACAATGTGCGCTGTTACTAACATGTTTTTAAATCTCTGCGAAACATTTCCAGCCGAAATTCGTTGAAGACGGACCTGCGATTAGAAACTAAGCACAGGAAAGCTTTTAAAAAGTTTTGAAAAATTTTGCACCGGAATCCTTTACAAAAAGGGCTACTACATTTAATCTCACGGAACCTTTCTGATGCATATGTTACGTCGGCGTCAGACGGCTTATTGACGTAGAATAGGCCAGCTATCTATGTTCTTGCTCTGGGCGGGTTGTGATGTCCCCATCAACCATTGTTTCTTTAACACGCGCTCGGGTGGAGGTCAAATTGACCCGCCTCAAAGGTTTTTCCAGAATGGTTCCCGAACGGTGCGGCACAGCTGCGCCAAATTTTGCAAAGCTGTAGACATTTGAATAGCGGATCGCCTGACATTAAACAATTATATGTACATTGTAAGGTCGCTGATCTACGACAGGTCAAAATCAGGCCATAGATTCTGCTAAGTCAGATTTCTAGGGAATCATTCAATCTTATGTAACAACGGAATATTAGACGAGACCATGCATCTCCGAGATACTTTCTCTTGCAACGCAACAATTATATTAACAAGTTCAATTGACCAAACGTCAGTTTTGAACGTCAGACCAATGTCAAAGCTAATCTGTTTTGCTCTCTAGGGCTCGCTGTATGGTGTAGTTTCTAGTGCTCATTTCCAATTCATTAATGTTATGAACCGCATTATGCGCCTTCCATGCACTTCTGAAAGGTCAGAATATGTCACTGACCTAAAATGACCCGGGTCAACATTTTGTTTTAAGGAACAGACTACCCAGCATAATAATTGCGGCCTATCCAGATGCAAAACTCAAAGCAGTTTTGTATGCTTTTGGTCACCATGACCTCCTGAAGGTCAAACAGGGTCACTGACCTTAAATGATCGTGTGACCTGTTTAGAACAGATATCTGGTTCTGGCGGCACTTTGGAAACCAACCCGGAGATTGACCTTGTTTGATCTTACTTGACTCATAACCTAGGTACCTCAAACTTTGACCTGAGTGATTTCAGGTCCAGGCCAACACACGCTGTAAATTTGGTGTCACCAGCTCTCTTAGTTCCTGAGATCTCAGGGGGTCAGATTGACCCCCATTTGAGCGAAGGCCATCCAGTATGCAGCTGGCCATCCGGGCGCGTGTTAAGCTTGCATTCATTATGTCCATGGGAACTACACAATTTTTCTCTCCAGCAGCTAATCCAAGAAGATCAAAACCATGATAAGCGTTTGAGTCAAAACCAACAGGGTTATTATTGTTCTTAAAGGTGGTACAGCGGTGATCGAAGAACCGTTCTCTCACAGTGAGTGCACATGCGCCAGGTTAGAACATCAAGCCCAAAATGAACAAAAAAGCTGTCCCTGTCCCACGCTATCCCCTACACGGAAAAACGTCTGTCGATCTTGAAAGTGGTTGTCATCCCCAACGCGATTTATTCGAATGTCTTCCACAACACACTGCTTTTTACGTCAAGGGGCATTTAAAGCATTGGAAGCAGCATTTATCAATTCAAAGATTAAAAGTATAGTCTGTCAAGGTTATCGCACCCACTGCGCTAAGTTCTGAACTTGCCTGAAGACTATTACTGGCCGTTCTCGATATACCAACACGCTCGCAGCGGTATGTTGCGTTCGTTGTTTCAGCTCTGACTTTCACTGGAGCACTGTTTAATGCGGCAATAACACGGACATTAATGGAGTGACGACGCTTGAAAACGTGGTGACGTTACAACGGTGACAGTGCTCCGAGAGCTGTCATCGCGGTGATTTGCTGTACATCTCTGTCACATGACGCCATGGACGAACATAATCATCAGCTGGAGACCAGGGGTATATCATTCTCAAAAACTTGGCCACGCCCCGGGCTAGGCAAGTCCGCAGTGTAACGAAGTGTCACGTGTCACCAGTGTCACGAACGGCTGCGAGGGCAGGTGGATAATGCAGCACGTTATGAACGCGTACTACGAGCTTGAAACATGCTTTCAGAAAACCATGACATGCAATTTAGATACCACGCACTCAAACATGAGTCTTTGAAATGTATGTGGTGATACTGATCATGGCTTTCCAACACGCCTGCAGAACAAAATGTGGTCTGCAAAGATGGTTGTAGGCCCGGGAGCCAAACTTACATCATGGAATGCCAGTGTAATATAGTAGCCTAACAAAACATGGCATGGTGATCTGGTGCCGCACACCAATCGCCGCTCATGTGATGTGATGGAAGGATACGGTACGGCGCCAGCCTGCGCCGTCGCCGCGCGCCTGTCTGACCGGCCTCTCTGTCGTGCCGCCAGCCTGGCTGTGGAGCTGCTGGAGCTGCCGAAGCAGCTGGCTCTGCTGCGACAGCGACTGTCGGACGCCCAGCGACACCTGCAGGTCGGTGCAATCCCCCGCCGTACACATATGGCCGGGCGATATCGATCGGGCCCGAGTCCGGTATTGTCTCACTCGACCGGGAGCATTGCTGACGCGCGCTATCGGTCGACGTTATCGTACGGCGTGGCGGCTCCACTGGCTCCGTCTCGGGTGATGAGGGCCTGATGCGACCTAAGGTGTCAGCACTTCTTCTACCCCGCAGGAGGCGGGAAAAATGACATTGGTCCAGGTGGCGTTCAGGTGGGCATTGGAAGGAGAGAGAGAGAGAGCGAGAGAGAGAGAGAGCGACTAGAGAGAAGGAGAGAAGAGAGAGGAGATGAGAGAGCGAGATGAGAGAGAAGCGAGAGAGAGAGAGAGGAGAGAGAAGAAGAGAGGAGAAGAGAGAGAGGAAGAGAGAGAGAGAAAGAGAGAAGGAGAGAAGAGAGAGGGAGGAGAAAGAGAGAGAAGAGAGAGAGAGAAGAGAGAGAAGAGAGAAGATAGGAGAGAGAGAGAGAGAGAGAGAAGAGAGAGAGAGGAGAGAGAGAGAGAAGCGATGAGAGAGAGGAAGAGAGAGAGAGAGAGAGAGAGAGAGAGAGAGAGAGCAGGAAAGATTTTTCCTTCAAAACTCAGCGGCACGATTCGATTGCCAGTGCATGCTGCGCCAAGCATTACAATTCGGGCCCAGATATTTCATGGCTCGAATCTACGGATTGCATAAACATATTGCTCGCGCATGGGTAAACCTTGAATTGATGAGTCTGGAGGTTAATGATATTAGTAGTTATGCACGCCACTGTGTGCTTAACTCGATTATTAATCTGTCTGGGCCTTTTTGTGTTTAGCATTGTGTGTACAGGTGTACGTTATGACCTAATTGTTGATCCACAACGATTATCGTTGCTTAGCTCCAGTTACCCGTAATCTCCGCATTCTGTGAAGTGAAACTTGGGCAACATTTTACGGTAAAATGACTGGTTCAGGTCAACGCAACTAAATTCCTGCAGAATTTATCGTTGTCATGTCTGCAGTTCCTGCAGTGGTGTTCTTTTACTCGTCGAACTCGCTAGATACCATTAGGAATGACTGGGAATGTTGCTTTAGTAGCTATTCCAGGAAAGCCACGATGTAAGCTCGTTTGCCAGCGCGAGGTTCAGAGCTTTTCAGCTGTGGTGAGCGGGCGACTACCGTGGCTGCGGTACATTGTCAGCTCCGCTCAGTGTCAGCTCAGGCATCGAATGTAGTCTTCAGGCCAGACCCAATCAGCTCTGTGCCTTGCATCGCTTTCGATTATTCAGTGTCATGGAAATTAGATTTCCCGTATGTCTTCGATTATTTCAAATGCCGAGTTCCTGGATGTGCTAGGCAAGACACAGAAATAAAAACGTCTCAGCGCGAAGGTGTCCCACGGACAAGATCACGTGAGGAGGATTGTGATTCGATCACACTGCCGGGAGCCAGAGCGGCACCGAATTCCCGAAGGCGTGTCAGGAAGAGGAATAAGCACCCAACGGCTGCACACTAGGATCGTCTACATCCAGGATACGCCGCCGGTGGACACTGAGGCCATCGGAGCGGCCGCTCGGCCTGGTGCCAGCAAACCGCGAGCGATTTATGCGTATGGGGTGCATCTATCAAGAGGCTGCCCGCACGCCTGGCGTGTGACGCGTGACTGCGAAGTGGTGAGGCATTCAATTTAGCCGCTAAAACTGGCTGCGGCAGTCACTGAATACAAAAAACAGCTTACACACACACACACACACACACACGCACACACACACACACACACACACACACACACACACACACACACACACACACACACACACACACACACACACACACACACACACACACACACACACACACACACACACACACACACACGCACACGCACACGCACACGCACACGCACACGCACACGCACACGCACACGCACACACACACGCATCTGTATATATATATATATATATATATATATATATATATATATATATATATATACTATACATATGTTAGACATATATAGCATGCATAATGTGTATGTATTGTGTATATACTCAAATGCACAAGTGTGCAAATAAATCCGACACCATCTGAACCGGGAATATGATGGGCAACGATATTTCAAGCAACAAGAGAAGCCAAAAAAAGGAACGCATCAAATTTCTCTCCAAAAATCAAATGAACTCTGCGAATTAAGTCAACGAACGCGTCACTTGGCAAACCATCATCGAGAACGTGTCTTGTACCGACAAGCACCAAAACCTGGAACTTAGCATCCATTAAAAAAGCAAAAAGATCAGTAAGCTGTTCTCCCAATCGGGCAAGACGGCAACGGATTTTAAAAGTTCGAATCAGCTGGTTGTCTGGAAGAAATAAATTGTATCTTTTTATGTTATTTATATATTTAACACATTTTTTACCTAATTTTTTTATATTCATGTTATTTAATATATTTTTAATCATATATATATATATATATATATATATATATATATATTGAAAACGTGCATTACGTACAACACAGAAGCATTTATAAACGTCGAGATACTCTCGGGTGGGGGTCAAATTGACTCCCCCGACGGTATTTCCAGAACGGTTGCTGAATGGCGCGGCTACGCCGCGCCAAACTTTGCATAACTGTAGAAAATTTAATAGCGGATCGTTTGACATAACAAATTTAGACGTACCTTGCAAGGTCGCTGACGTATGGCAGGTCAAAGTCAGGGCATGGTTTCAGCGAAGGCAATTTGTAGGGAATCTTCCAATCTGATACAATAACAGAGCGTTTGACGAAGCCTTACATCTCTGGAATGCTTTCTTGGACACCACAAATATAACATGAGCAAATCACGTTGACCTGAGGTCAGGCATGGAGATCAGACCAAGGCCACAACCAGCCCGATTTATTACTGTAGGGCTTGCTGTATGGGATAGTTTGTGGTGCTCATTTCGAATTGATTGACAACAGGAACCGCATTATACATCTTCCATTGACTTCTTTGATGTCAGAAAAGGTCATTGACCGAAGGTGACCCGTGTCGACATTTTGTTTTAGGAACATACTGCCTAGCGTTATCTTTGTCGCTTATTCAAATTCGAAACTCAGAGCAGTCTTGTATGATTTTAGTTACCATGACCTTCAAAAGGTCAAATAAGGTCACTGACCTTAAATGAGCCTTTGACCTTTTGCTTAAAAATAGTTGCCTAAGTTCTGGAGGCACTTAAGACCCACCTGGAATTTGAAATTGTTTGACCGCATTTGACCTGAAGGTCATGACCTAGAACCTCAAACTATGACCTAAGTGAGTTCACCTACAGGTCAGGATACCCTGTGAATTTGGTGTTTCCAGCTTTCTTAGTTCCCGAGATCTCAGGGGAGTCAAATTGATGTCCCACTCCTACCCGAGCGAAGGGTATCTAGCCGGCCACCCGGGCGCGTATTAAGTTTAGAGTAGAACACCAACAGAGGACTGAAGCAGTAAAGCGACGCATATAAAACAAAGACCAAAAACGCAGACGTAAAGACCGCCGAAGAAAGCCAAGTGATGTTGGAAGACTACCTGGCAGCTCAGTACAATGGATGCGCTCTTGCCGAAGAGGACTCATCGTTCCTGCACAACGAAAACAAATCACGCCGCGAAAAGAGGCGGGGCCGAAATCTGATGCATGTCCTGTGCATCTGATATAATATAGGGTTGAATGTTTTAGCAGCGTTTGGCAAGTCATCTCAGGAAGATCAGCAAAATCTAAGTTAAGAACGATCTCAGGACAATGTCGCACATGCCTGAAATGAGGGCTCCGCTTTTCACTTTTGAACCACAAGTTTTGTGCACATGCTGAACGCTTCCCACGATCTGCGTTCGGATGGGTTCATGTTTGTTGGTATCAAATGATGCTGGTCTGGCAACGCGGCAAAATGCCTGTTTGTAATCAAACTTTGTAGACATTTCCATTTAAGTCTTTATCGCGGCAATAAACCCAGCACCTTTTATCCCGCGAACACCTAAAACGAGTGGACTCAACGCGCGTTCGGGTGAGGGTCAAATTGTTTCCCCAAGGTTTTCCGGAATGATTTCCGAACGGCGTGGCTGAGAGCTGTAGATAATTGAATAGCGAATATTTTTATGTAAAAAACAGGTGCACCTTGTGAGGTCGTTGACCTGTGGCAGGACACAGTCAATCCATGGTTGTCAGCGAAGGGGATTTCTTGGGAATTGTTCAATGTGATGTAACAGAATAATTGACGCTAAACCAAACGCTTCCGAAATAGTTTCTTAGATAACAAACCAATCGAATTTATAATTATAGCTATTTCCATTGAACTGGGGTCAGGATGCATGCGGATGCATGCGAGCATAACCAACATGTTTTGCTCCCGAGCTTGGTTTTATAGCAGTTCCTGGTGCTCATTTCAAAATGTATTTATGATAGGGATCACAACAGACATGTTCCATGGTCTTTTAAGAGTCAGCGTAGGTCAATGACCTAAAATGACCCCGGTCAATATTTTGTTTTCAGGAACCCACTACCCAGCTTAGTGCCTGACGCTTGTTCGAATGGCAAGATAGGAGCGATCTCGTAGGTATTTGGTCACTTTGGTCTTATAAAGGCCAAAGGAGGTCACTGACCTCATTAAGCTTTTGTTTAGTACAGGTATCTAGCTTCGTGGTGGTTGCATCAGGAGGTCTGGGGGCTCTTGAGACACCAATCTGGATTTTGACATTTTTGACATCCTTTGACCCCAAGGTTATGACCTAGAAACTTAGAGACGTCGCACATCTGCTGCAGTGTGTCAATTCGTGGAATATGTATTGCAATCTACCTAGCTAAACCAAGTTGCAAAGGTTTTCTTCTTCCTCCGGCCTAATCACAGGCAAAATAAAGCACAATCCCATTTCAGCTGAGCGACGACGTTTACGCATTTTGTTAGTTAAACCGCGTTTGGATATCATGAACAGGGCCAGACCAGTACGCACGGTACACTGGAGAAACGGAATAACTGCGACAAACATTTGAGCACGTCCAGAACAACTAAATCAGTCGTCCGACGAGACAACTACAACTATCAAGAACAAGGACCGTTGTCGACAGGCGTAGCCTTAGTCACGGGGCTATGACGTAGTTCAGCCGCCTGTTGTAGACTATGCGAAACATGATGAACTGGTCTCGTTTTAAAGCGAATCTCACAAGCCTGCTGCTGCGCGCAGAGGTGGTGACGACTCATTGTGTGTGGCACCCCTGGCATGTGATCTTTGGGAGTCGTGCATTAGCTGCATAGTTTGTTCTATACTTGTGTTGCTTGAATTTGGTTTTTACTGAAGCCGGGAACTCGTTGACGATTTAACCGCACAAGCTGAACTAACTGTGCTCAGCAGAACATCGCAGTATTTATGCCAGTGTTCCTGTGTGCCAGGCCTGAGTACCGTCGCAAAATGGCAATGCTCTCGCTGTTTTACAGCTGTTTGGGTTGAAGGCTTTATTTTGGAATACCAAAATTACGGCTTTTCTCCTCGTCTTAGAAGTGATGTCGTTTGAAACTTCAAGGGATTCAGCAAAGTGGCTCCAAATTCAGCTGCAACCACTAAACGGGCCGAACCCATCGGATCTGGCCGACGTAAATGCCCGACAACACCAGTGCGACTGTGTCTGAGTATTGACGTCTTCAGTTTGGGCCGATGATGTTGTTCAGCCGGTGCTGCGAGCGGCTAGAGAGTACTTGATTGCCAGGTGCGTCGAATGAGTACTCCAGAGCTCCTCGCAGCTCAGCGCCGATTGAAAGCAGCAGCATGTCTGGACACCTGGTCGGGCACGCCTGGCTGCCTGGTCGTGCTCAGCTATGCTCATTCTCAATAGTAAGCCCACTTTTGAGGATGAGCACAGCTTGAAGTATTGGGTACCGCCGATACAATCGTCATTGGACATAACAACGTAGTTTAACCAGTACCTGCTGTGATATTGAAAGTTGTTGACTCAACATGAGAACTTTCAGCTCATAATGCCGGAAAACCGGAAGCTGGAGGATTTTCACTCTTATGTCAATCTAGTATTGCAATGCTGCAGTCGAAAATCAATTCTGTGAATGTCAGACCATTAGCTTACAGTTTATGACATGCGTTCTTATCTAGGATAGGCACAAATGGAACAGTAGTGTGGTGAGGGATTTCTGAGCTTTATTGTCTACGGACTATATAGTTGCCTACTCAGCTTAAGGTCAGCTGCCCTTCTGTTGTGTTTCGTATTTAAGTGTTTCAAGCTCTGAGGAGGCAAAATGGGCAAGCTGTTCCTTTCCTTGCGGGAGTCTTTGACATTTCTTGAAGCGGCAATCTTGATATCACGTACCCCTGCCCCCCCCCCCCCTTCCATCAAATATAAACCGTTTGTCAAGCTTCGTATTACGCATTGCTGCAAAACTACCCCAAATGTGTACTCTAATATCTACCCCTAACTGGAAAATTACCGCATCGAGTGGAAACACGTACGTGAGAAAGGCTATTAGCCTGCATGTTTGGGCCAGCGGGCAGCATTGAAAGCTGATAAAAATACCACGACAGTTGATGTAAATTTTGTTCGGGCGCAACGCAACTTGAACTGTGTCTGCCTGCATTCGTACATGAAAAAATCAGCTGACCTTGATATGGCCAGGACAGAGAAGTGTTCGAAATACCGACATGCTAGTCCACAGACGAGGTACAGACACGCTACGTAGTTCAGACTGGTTCTGTCTGCTGATAGCACCGTTGGCTGCTAGTTGCCGTGTTTCTGATGCTGTTTCCAGACCCCCTAACAGTTGTAGCTACGGTTTGGTCGTGCTGACCGCTGACTGAAACAGAACGCCTTGGCAACGCATTGCGTGGACGAATGAAGTGCTGCCCTTCAGTGGGACACCCGCGCTGCGAGAGAGCGAAAACGTGAGCGTGGAGCATGCGGCTGATAAGGACATGGCCTGCCTTTATCGCGTTTAATCATGCGAATGCAGGATGTGGCGTTGAAGGTCCGAAGGCTTTGTTTTCGTTATACATCTGGCGTGCAATATGAACGGAAGCATTTTGATTGATTTTTTAGTGCTTGAGACTAGTATGCGCCGGTGCACCTATCGAAGGAAGTCCTCTAGGACTGTGTTGACGCGAATCCTGCAGATGAGTCTGAAAAAGATCGCCTCATCTAATCGGCTCCAGGCCACTTTATTTCCATACTTACTATGCCCCTATGAATCCTCTCCAAGTTATGATCGGAGTCCATGCGGCTTTCCCGATCCCGAGTCAAGAATTCCTGGCGCAGAAAACAAGGTTTGAAAGCCTGCCATCGTACGCATACTTCACCAATGTGCGATATCAGAAAAGCAAAGGTCACAGCTGAAGCCACGCCAGGCGGTCACACCTGAGGCCACGCCAGGCGGCCGCTGCTGAAGCCGCGCCAGACGGTCACAAGTGAAGCCACGCCAGGCGGTCACAGCTGAAGTCACGCCAGGCGGTCACAGCTGAAGCCACGCCAGGCGGTCACAGCTGAAGTCACGCCAGACGGTCACAGCTGAAGTCACGCCAGGCGGTCACAGTTGAAGCCACGCCAGGCGGTCACAGCTGAAGCCACGCCAGGCGGTCGCTGCTCATCGCTCGTGAGGTATATTTGGGATCAGATACCAGCATCACCGCGTCGTTGGAGTATTATGCGATAAAGACGCCGGTGACTTAGACTTAGACGCAGACTTAGGTTGTTGGCGAACAAGGTGGAAAGCATAGGCCATAGAGAGGTTACATGGAAGAGTCGTTTGGTTGACGTAACGTTGAGCCGAAATATGACTGTCAAGCGACGAGAAGGAGAAACTGGCACTCTGTAGTTTTGAGACCACACCATATCAATGCATTAAAGTTGTCATTGTATAAACAATTTTTGAGGCAATCAGCGATATAAGAAAACAATTGACTGAGTCTCTCCAAGATAGGCAAAGGAAGTTTGCCCTCTTCCATGTCACCTATAAACCGGTGACAGGGTACAGGAGGGCTGCTTCAGTGAAATATCCAGGTCTGGAACCGTGCTGGGTGCGTTCAAGGTGGTTTCAGCAGTGGAGTCTGATGGTGAGTAACCTTCTCCGCGATCTTAGCAATGACAGCAAAGATGAAAACAGTGCGATAGGTGGGAGGGTTTTCTGAATCACCGGACTTTAAGATAGGGTGAACCACCACGTGCTTTTTACGTGGGATGTCTGTAGATAAGACAAAACCAATAGCCTTTTTCATCGTAGAATAACCAGGAGATTGGAGAGACAGATGCATTGATATTTCGGCCGCATACCTTTATCGAAACGAATATCATTAGCATACTCAAAACTGCCGCCGACTCTACTCCATATTTCTTTTTTTTAAAACAGCGAGCCACAAAGCTGGGTGTTGATTGGGTTCTTATGTGAAATTAGGGTGGCCCAGATTTACGGGATTTGTCAGACATGCAGCGAGTGAAAGTGCACTGTCGAGATCTGTCCGGTTCTACACTGAAAGTGCATCCTTCCACTGTCTGCTACACAAAATTGCATTTGAATCAATATTTGTATTTATACTTTATCTACATCTTGAAAGGCACAAACATTGTCCTTGTTCAGTCGCAAAGCTCGGAGCCATGGCTCACGTTTACCATGGTCATGAGTTGAGACTGCAGCGCACCCTGGTTACCTGGTTTGACGTGGGCCCGATGACGCCCGTCTGATGTCACCTGGTCCCTTGACGTGGGCCCGATGACGTCCGTCTGACACGTCACCTTTGCCCGCCAGACGCTGCTGAATCGGCGATGCGTGCTGGAGAACGATGTCGCCGTGAAGCGGGAATCGCTTCGCATCGACAAGGACAAGGTTCGGGTGATCCGCAGTCGCTACCCGTCCAGTGTGCGACTCAACGGATACTGATGACGTCACACAGACCGACGTCACAGAGGTGTCTGCCCCAGGCGACTAGACGTGGTCGCATAATCAAATTGCCCCCGGCGCAATTGGTTGTACGTTGCGGTGGATGTTTTTCGATGCTCCATCGCTTTACTGGCTCTCGCCAGCTCTTCGTCCGTAATTCTGGCTTGTGATGTGCCTGCACCTGTCCTCAGCGAATGGAGGCAAATTTCGTCCGATTTGTTGTCTTTTGCACATATAGTGTGTTGCTAGGAGTAAACAAAAGTCCGACAATAAACACACTGCGAAATCGCGGTCCTTCGGCTGCAGCGGTCACAGTACTGACATTTTGAAGTGAGCTAACGGCACTCATTCATGACATCATGATGCAAATGTACAAAACTTCGAACCCATTCCGTAATGAGCACTGCACCTTTCGCCAAAAACAGCGCATTTTCTTAGTCCTTGATGATTCAAGCTGCATGGTGCTGCAGAACAGCCAACAGCGGCAGCTGCTCAGGGCCGCGGCTTGATGTTTCGTTTAAGCGTTCAAAAACATCGGGCCCGGGCACAGACTTGTTGCACTGATCGATCAATTTCCCTGGAGTCAGGCTGCTTATTATCGGAAGTTTTTTTCGAAGTGACATCACAAATAGCCGACGATAATTTGCAGATGCTTGCCTCGATGGCCGGGGGCAGCAGCTTATGCCCGGTGACAAGCCTGATGGCACTGCTGTCAGGTCTCCATGGGCCATTCAGTTGGAAATGCTATCATCAATTCAATGGATCCCCAAACCGGCCGTGCTCAACACCGCCGTGTTTGGCTCCATGGCCATCGGGCAGGTGTATTGCAAGGGACCAGGGGCTGGTGCCTCTGTGTCTGCTGAGGTCACGCAGACGACACATGCTGAGGTCACGCAGACGACACATGTTGGGGTCACGCAGACGACACATGCTGAGGTTACGCAGACGATACGTGCTGAGGTCACTCTGACGTCACATGCTGGGGTCACGCAGACGGCACAGCTCCGATCAGGCGAGGCTCAGCCAGGGTGTGGACCGTCGGCGCCGGGCGAGGCAACATACGGACAGGTCGGCTCGGGTGGCGTGCAGCCAGAGCCTGCGCTCGGCCAGATCGGGGCTCAGAGACGGCTACGGCGTAGGCCTCGGCCCATCTCGCACGGGTCAGGTGGCGGGTGTGGCTCCGATGGGAGAGCAGGCTGAAAACCCCCACTTTGCGGTTCTGTCTGCTTGGAGTGATGCGCTGCACCCTGAACCCGGCGATCTCCACGACTGGCCGCCAGAAGATAAAAGGCTCCTCTGAAAGGCGGACGCTGACAAAAACAGACGCCTGCGCGGGGCATGGTCTTTTTTGCGTGGCAGCGGCCATGAATAATGGAGACCCTGATGGCGCACAAGGCCGCCAGATGTCAGATGTGATGGATGCGCACAAAAAAATTCACGAACATACGCTGTGGGTGTACGCATGAATATACGCTGTGGGCGTATGTACGTCCTCACTACGCTGCGTATGATGCCAGGCGATGCTCCGTCCGCGACTATAACAGCCTGGCCTCGCGCACACCCAATGCATAAACGTTCACCTCATGCAAATACGAGTTGTCGCTGGGCCGTAGGGTCGCTGGCCGTGCGCCAAGGACTACAGCATGGTGGCACGGCAGGCTTTGGCTCGCATTTAGGATTCGCCTGCATTGTTGGAAACGTGGCGTGTTCTTCAGTTAGCTTACAAATTTCTAAAGTATTAAATCTTGCCGTCATAAGCGGTCAATGGTTTTCTGAGGATGCCTCTCCGGCATGTAGTGTAATCGTCCCCAAATTTTTGGTGGCATCTGGTGAATGGAGGGGAAATGAAAGGCAAATAAAAGTAGCGAATATTTTCTTTTTATGCCCGACGGTCTTTAGACACGCTACGTGACGATGCACGTGTATGACACGGCCCCGGGGGAGCGGGGAGGGGGGAGGTGTGGCGCCCCGCGCGGCCGCCGGCGAACAGCGCCGGCGGCCAGTGCCGGAGCGCTTGTTTGGTACCGACGCCCGGGCTTTGTTCGCGCCGCCTGTTTGACGTTGGAGTAAACAGATGAGCGCCGCCATCGGTCGCTCCAGCCCAGCGGTAATCCGCTGACCTCACGCGCCGCTGCCGGCGGCCACCAGCGGCATCATTTGTCAGGATGGGCCGAGCCCGACGGATGGGGAAGATAGGCCCGTCCCAGCTACAACATGAAGCCCAGCTGAAGCCACGAGACCGGGAATGACGAGACTTGACTTGTACAGAAGATGCTATGCCTGCATGCATTACGAAGTGCTACAATTAGCTTGGCAACCCAAAACTGACACAACGTTTCGCCTGGGACCTATGAGATCGCATATGGCATGGGAGTTGCAAATTTGAAAAGCGACATAATATTGAAGTAACCAGAGGACATAGTGTGAAGAAAACAGAAACTATGGAAGCTGAGACCACGCCAGGCAACATCCCCTTTAGGCACTGATGGTGAATATAGTTTCGGTGGCCGTCAATCTCAACACAATGAGCAGCTGTTCTAGGAGACGAGCAATGTCAAATGTACATGCTAGTGATGGCGTGCGCCACAGCTCTCGTCAGTTGCGAGGCTTTTATAGCCTTGGTCTCGAGTTCCGACTCATGCACGCATTCGGGTCGTTCTGGAGGCTTCCGTGCACGGTGGCGGTACGGAGGCCGGACACGAGCGAACGCCCCCGCTGAGAAGCACGTTAAAGCCGCGGCAAGCGCCCGCCGCGCTGCGCCAACACTGAAAGCGTAGGTGACAGCGAGCGAATGCCATTGAGCCGGTGGAGGCCGTCTACCGGAACTCCGATTCTGACTGCAGATATAATCGCTAGATATTTACGTGAGCCGTGTATGGTTGCATGTTATATGTGTGACTGATGGTGTGGCTGTATGTGGCTGTGTGTGGCTGATGGTGTGGCTGTATGTGGCTGTGTGTGGTATGCATGTGGTTATCAAACTTTTAGCCCCGCAGCCTTTTAACTGTGCTTGCCTCTGATTTAGTCGTTAATTTGTTCGCGTCGTTTGACGTAAGTAAAACGACGTCGCCATGTGTCGGTTGTCATGGCTGTGAGCCGTTACTTCGCAGACAAGTTCCCGAATTGCTGTCTCCATAACATTGTGCATTGTGCGGTCATTGGTACAAATGTTTGCCTCTAAATCACTCAATTAGCTCGCCCCCCTTACTAAAACGTACCATTAGCGCGTAGTGAACACCCCAAAACTGTTTTGTTGTCCCATAATAGCTCTGGAGGACTACACCAATAAAAGCAGTTCTGTTTGTGAATAAAGCAAAGCTATTTTGTTGGCGAATGGCTCGCGTCCTCTACTCACGGCACTCCCAATTCGGTCTTGAATTGGGTTCCAGCGGTTCAGGGTCACCCAGCGGCTTCCACTTATTCACGGCCGTTGAATATCGGAGAGCTCAAGCGATAAGGCTGGACTACCGCAGCGTGTGCAGCGTATTGGGAGCCTTAACACGCATCGAGAGGTTCTTGGCCCTTGCTGGCTGTCAATGAGCTGCACAATTGACGTGCCAGACGAGTCTAGCTTTGTTGATGTTGAGTGGCGGCAGCTCCCGACGGCCCGCTACGCAGTCGCCAGATGTGCTGCAATCCCCAGTTCAGCTTTGAATGTGACGTGGTTCCTGGACGTTTTTAGTTTTGTGCCAAGTTTTTGGAATAGCCTTGCCACGTGGATAGTGCTCTCGCACATGTCCTTAATTGGGCTCCTCCTAGCGTTTGGCTTCCGACGGCGGCCTGATGGGGCGGCAGTAACACACCGCTGGTATATCAGGACCCAGTCGTGGGATCGGATCTTTTTCCTGACGGCCATCAAGAGTCCTGGTCAGTCTCGCTCACAAATCGCTGAGGCGCCATTTGGCAAGCAAGCGATGACGTCACAGGCCAGGTAAGAACATAACAATCGCGAACACTTTCGGATGAAATGCGTCACATAGTTTTGCAATTAGCGTCAGACAAAACCGCGTTTTTACGCCTATGCATCCGTCCATTCAATCAAGGTCACGGGTCCAGACAAAGTAAAGACCACGTCAGGTTGAAGCCTTGTCACAAAACCGTGCATTTTACCGTGTCCTGTTGGTTCGTACGAAGTTTGAACAAATTGGTTTGGAAATGTGTAGGTTATGTTGTTTTACTCATCTCAAATTGGCGTTCAAATCGTGTCGTTTCGCCGTTCAAAATTAACACATCACCTCTCATGGTGACCTGGCGTGATGTCACACATCACCTCTGAGGATAACCTGGTGTGATATCACGCATCACGTCACTTTGACGTGGTGTGATATCACACATCACCTCATGATGACCTGATGTGATAGCGCAGATGGGACTGACCCCGACTGGCAGGTAGTCAAGATATTCGATAAAATCGGCTAAAACAATATAAAACAGCATGGAAACTTGCAAATTACTGAACGTAGAGGCAAAAAATCCCGGAGCAAGCATTTTTCAGAATATGTCAAGCTTGCCTCCTTTTCGCTGTTGAAGATTTCATGCATCTGCTCGGCACTGTTAAAAATTATTTCCCGAAACTTGGGAGGGCATGATGCTGCTACCATGCCGGAACCAACTCGTTTATACTATTTTGAAAAGTGATATGTTCTGGAGACCCATAAATCAGTGTTAATGGAGTCGCATGAAAAGTACGAGAGCAATAAATACCCGGGTCAGTCGCGCCTTGCCGCGGCGACACAAAGGGCAAAAGATGAAGAACCTTGGGTAAAATCGGAAAAGACAAGGGCCTTATGGCTCATAATATTACGTCTCATCTCGGCCCTAAACGTCCTCTGAGGTGCTTCTCCTATTCAGCGTCCTCCGTTACCTTCAATATAGCACTCGCACGGTGCCGCTATTGAAAGGTTACTGGAACAACACAGAAAACGCCGTGATATCTAGCATCAGCCAGCTGAGACGTGAATCGCCTTATTGCTTTGCTAGGGAGATTGGAGACGGATACGGACACACACAAAAAGGCAGAGCGATGCGCCAGATAGGCAGACGTTTCGGGGAAGTACAAGACTCCTGAGATGATTGTCGCCAACGCTTCAGCTGGAATCTGGTGCAGCACAGCAACATTGAACTGGCCACTGAAAGGCCAACACCAAATGCGAAAGTCGGTGATACAGCGGAGGCCAGTTAATTTATATTCCATTAGCTGACTGTTATGAACGTGTGCTCATAAACCTCAAGCAGGAAGATACGTGGATGTAATAACAATGGTGAGGTTTTATGTGATATGAATACA